TAAGCTTATTTAGATTTTGGTCTCAAAGCAATTAACATTGGTTTTTAAGTCCTAGCAATCTAGTCCAGATGAAAACATCTAAATAGAATCCTTGTGGCTGTCAAATAGAGCCTTATGTCACTCAAATAAGAACTATCGATACACTTGGGTGTCGCAAAAAGAATCGGAAAATCTCACAAACTGTATGCCTTGAACGGGTTTTGTCATGGCTTACCATCAAGGTGTGTTGCCGACCGACCAAGAAAGTTTGAAAAACTCTACACTGATCTTACTTGTGAACAGGGTTGCGATAAAGGTGACTAACCAAAGTGCCTATATTGCAACCCTGCTTGTGAATAATTAAAAACACAGCCTTGATATTTTTTTTGAAGAATATTTTATTTGACAAAATCAAAGTTATGAATTTGTAATCTTAGAGTATGCTGCAAGTTTCTAAAATTAAGTCAGAATTCCCAATTCATCACAATCATCTTTTTCAAATATAATTATACATCTCAACCTTACAAAAAAATGCATCCTCCACAGAAAAAATAAAACAATTACTCTTTCAAAACAATCATTCAACTCTGACCTTGATGCTCAGCAATTCTCCCCAAAAAAACAAACATGAACTTTCTCTTTCATCAAACAACAATTTTCAATTCTCAATCTATTTATTCAAGACTTTTTGCAAATTTTTCATGAGTCTTTTGAACTTCACTTCGATTAGTGAAAGATCATGAACAGCTGAAGTTTCAAGTTATTGAAAAAGTGAAAAACTAGGAAGTTTGCATTACATGGAAAGCGTATGTCTGTCGACAGAATGTGAAAAAAGTGTTTTTTAAATAGAAAATTTTCTATTTTTCATGTTATTTATTTAATTATGAGTAGTAGTTTAATTAGAGGGATTTTGGTGTTAAATTAGTAGAAAATTTAATTTTAGGTAATGGTTTGCTAAGTTGAGATTTCTGAAAATTAAGAGAGAGTGGGATAATTGGAACTAGCCAGCGGTAGGATTTTATTGGGTTCCAACCCAAAAGTGTAAAAATTTGAAGATCTAAAGCTGTATTAAGGTTCAAATAATATTGTTTCGAAATATTGGATCTATCTCACTATTTTGAGACGTCATTTATGATCGACCCTATTAAAAAAACCATGCAATTGAATTTCACAGACAGTTAAATGATGGACGATTTGATTTGTTTACTTAAGTTTATTTTGGATGAGCTCTGAAAGTCTTATGATCATTCGGTTGATATTAAAGCGTTGCTAGATATTTTATGGAACATATGAAAAGATAATATAGGAAATATTAATGAATATTTATTAAATAAATTGTTAAAATGACGAGAAAAAATCATTAAACTGAAGCTCATAAACACACTTACTCCTCCAAAACATACAAAAAAAAAATCTACACAAAATTTTTATTTCATTTAACATCTTGAAAATTTCTGTTCCTCAATCAACAAATTTTATTTACAGCTTCCAGAATGGAATGAAAAAATATAAACTCATAAATTGCACAATTTGTGTGAATTGCAAAACAGACTTTTATTGAGTTCAATAAATTTACATGCAAGAAAATATCGTAAAAAAGCTCTTTAGAAAATCAAAGCTTCACAATTTCAATCTAGAAATCCATTCATCCATGAAATTAACTTTACTGACAGTAGTCAATATGTGTCAATATACAGAATAGAAAATTTAATGAAAATGTTTTGTGGGGGGTGAAAAATTTAAATGTCGATGGAATGTAGGCTAAATTTTTATTTTAAATAAAATTAAATTGGGGCAGCTTTATAGATGCTGAGAAACTTTTGAAGTTGTGCTTGAAATTTTAATTTAAGGATTTTTGAAAGGCATGTCTTGGGGTGGATTTAGATAGTGAATTCATTTACAATTCATAGCTTCAGTGCTAAATTATCGTAATAAAGTCAAACTTAGCAGCAAACTAGCTTTAAAATGACATTTAAACCTTGAAAACATTTCAAATTAGATACTTTTATGGTTCAAGCTCCTTTTTAGTCTAATCTAGGGACCAAGTTCTACAGTCCACTATCCATAATGTGTCTTTGACTAGAGTAGCTCTAGAAACCTGTTCAACATAGCTATGTGAGACCTATCCTCGTAACTACACCACCGAATTCAATATTCTTTTTGCAAATAAATTAAATTTTCACATTCAAATAAAATTTTTCATATCCAATCATCCCAAATAGAATTCATCAACATCAGCTTAATAAAATTTGCACATGAAAAAAAACAGAAATCTTTTCAAATTGAGAGCGCGAGGACTGAATTAAATTGAAATAATTTCAATTTTGTCAATCAATTGAAAAAAAGAAGAAAAAAAAATATTCAGGTCTCATTTTTTGCTGCTGTAAATGTTCAATCGCACTTCACTGTGTAATGGTAGAAAGATTTCACAATCTTAAAATGATTTTTTTTTTGCAACACTGAAGGCTGAGACGACTGTTATGCATATTGAACATATTGACGATTGTGAATGAGAAATAAATAAAAAAAAAATAATTTGTGGTTTTGTGGCACTTTGAATTGTGGGAGGAGGAGTGATCATGTGAGATGTTGGGTATGAAGTGTTCAGTGGGATACATCATGATGACAATGACAATTACATGCATAATGCTGACTACCACTCTACATGTTGCCTTCTCGTCTGATTTGAAATTGACCCTAGTTTTGAAACTAGAAGCAACTTTCATGTGAAATTTTAAAATTTTCTTATACTTAACCTAAATCAAACCTAGTCGATGATTAGCTCTGAAAAATATCCAGAATTTTTCAATCTGTGACTCGACAAAACATCCCTGATTCTGCTCAATTTTGTAAAAATCCACAAAAAACCATAGCAAATCCGGAACATTTCTTTTACACTTAATATGATTTCTCACATTCATAAATAATTTTGCATATCACATTCTATCGATTCAGTTTTCCTTCATCTCTCTGCCGCTTCTCTTGCCTCAAATGTACAAAAAAACATTAAAAAATCAGCATCTCGTGAGTATTTTTCTTTCTTTTCTTCTCAGGTTCAATTCATTTCGTGACGAAATTCTTTCATTTCTTCTTCTCGTCTCTCACTCCTCTCAATCGTTTATGATGTAGCGACGGTGCATGCCGTGAAAATAAAAATTCTTTTTACTCTTCGTGAGTTTCTTTTTCTCACTGAGTGGAAAGTTTTTAGCGATTTGTAAATTATTGAAAGCATAATTAATGAAATGAATCAGAAACGATGCTAAATGTCAATGTGGCTTTTGATTTTGTGGATTTTATGCTATTTTTACGATGTGCAATTTTATTTCTGCTATTTTGTGGTCGTTTGATATTTTTTCGGTATGAAAATGCGAGATGATGTAGATTTGTGGTTATGATGAATGATTTACTAATGCAGGAGCCGGTTTCTATGGCTATTAAGATCACCTACTCGAGGAGACCTTAAACACCATTGTAAAGAGAATTCAAATCTGGAGCACTTCTAGCTACTTCACTGACTCAACGAGTTGATCAATGTTTTATCCGTTTTATCAGAAATTCATTAAATGTCATTTTTCCCAGAAGTGTGCAAATTCTACACTAATATCGCTAAATGCCCCCAAATACCGCCTCTTTATATGAAACACCACTTATTTTCCGATTCTAGATTATTTCTTCACTATTAACTTCATTAAAAAATTCCTTAAATTGCTTCAATTTAATTTAAAGCGCATGCACAGCAAATTTAAATGTTAAAGCCTGGATATTCAAACACATGAAGCTTTATAGCTTCAATAAATTTTCTTCAGGCTATTAAGATTGACATTCTGTAATCCGAAACTTTTGATAGCTTAATTTGCCAATTAAAATTTAATTAATCCAGAATTAATTTGTGTTTCCATCAAGCGAAAAAGTTGGATTTGATTAAAATAAGGCGATTTAAAGATGATGCTTTTAAATTGGATTTGATTTAAGGTCAATTTGTCATTACCGTAAAGGCGTCGTTTTGGTTGAAGAAGTTTCAAATGCAAAAATATTTTAAGATAGGTTTAATGAAGGAGGTAAGTTGTGATCAGTCAACAAAAACATAAAGAAAACATTTCATATTCGATATCAAATTTCAAGCACAAAAAAAAACTCATCACAAGTCCCACAAAAAAAAGTCATCAAAACATCAAAACAAAACTTTCTTTCCTTCATTTGAGAAATTTCTTTTCTATCTCCTCTTAAATTTCACTAAAGCGTCCATGCTCATTCATCTTCACTTCCTTTCATATTTCTCTCATCAAAAAATTTTGTTTTTTGTTGTGTTATTCTCTTTTTCTTTGTATATTGTGACATTTCTCGGTTCTTCCGTCATTCAACACATTTCGCATACTTTGACACGCACACGAGATACACACATGAGGATGTGGAGATCATTCAGAATGAATGCGGTAATAACAATGAGGTGGACGAAAATCAATGAGATAGAAAACATGATCAGAAGGGTCAGGGGGTGGTATGGTCAAGTGACGAGAGGGGATGAGTTTTTATGGATGAATCAAAGAATTTCGTGTAATCTTGAGGAACTGATAGTTTAGTGGCCACAAAGAGCTCCAAATGCTGTAGTCATGTTTTTATATTAAACCTTGAGTTAAACTATTTAAAATATTCTCTAACAGCATGTGCTGCTCCGGCTTAAAATCAGCCAATTTCTCTAAGACAAGTAAAGACACTCAACCTTGATTTTTAAAAAAATGCACAAGATTTTATTGATTTTTACAAGCTGATCAATAATTTTTTCTAACTGCTGCCAAAATTATTTTCTAATTTAAAATTTACACTTTCCAATGAATCACATTTACAGCATCAAGTCAATATTAGAAATAATTCAGAGACAAAGCTCAAAGTCCACCTTTAAGAAGCATAACCGCAAGGCTTAATAAAAAAAAGAAGGAACAATTGAGGGATGGAAATGTCGACTCCATGACATAATATTATCTTAATTTCAAAAGAATAAGGCACAAAAAAAAAGAACTCACACAATTGTCAAGTTGGGAATTTCGTTTTGTTCCTTGCAACTTTTTTTTATATTTCGCTTGTCTCAGACAGAGAAAATTTTTTTATGTCACCATTCAAGTGTTTTAGGAATTTTCTTCTGCCTTCCTTTTTTTTCTTTTCTTTATTTTTAACAGGCATAAAATAGCAAAAAGACGATTCTTTTCATTTATTGTTCATTTTCTTCACTCTCATCTGCCTGATTTATAATGCGATTAAAAATTCAAGGTTTATTAATTCTCGTTATCACAAATCAATACAAAAAAGTTTATTTTTAAAAAGTCAATTAAAATTCACACTCGGACACACAAAATATAAAGTTTTAAAGGTAAGACCACAAAAAAAAGATTTTCTTATTATTTTTTTTTGCAAAAATTTCGCACGACTCGTCTTTAGTCTCCCGATCGCAGCGTGATCTTCCAACAAACTGAGCAAAAAAGACTTTTTCTACCTCGTGCACTTGTGTGCGGCTAGAAAGAAGAGAAATTGAGAAAAACTCACAAAATTAAAATTAAAAATAGATGCCGATTAATCTGGGAAAATAATTTCTACACTATTACAGCAAGAAATTTCCAATGCGAGCATCTTCTCAAAATTTTTAATTTGTGCTGCTTAATTCTCACAAAAAAAAAAATAATAAGTTTTTCTTTTGCTCATCATGAAAATTGGATTTTTTTTAATTAAGATTCTTTTTCGAAATGAACAATTTTCTTTTTGAAGATTTTTTTTTCAGTGACGGCGGCAAAAAAAGTTTCTGCCTCGATGTTGAAATTAAATGTGGTTTTTCTGAAGTTGCAGCAATTAAAATGCAGAAAGTGTTGACAGAAAATTGTGTTTTAGTCGGATGCGGTTGGTTGTGGTTAGGTTTGATGCTTTTTGAGGAAAATTCAGCGAGAAATTTAATAATAAAACCAAATTGTTGAATGCATACTTCATATTGCAATTTATTATGGATTTATGATGCAATTATAAACTTTGAATTCTTGAAGTTTATTAATTTCTATTCATGCAGCGAGTTATAACATTTAAATCACACTCAGTCATGTTATTGATTTTGTACTTACTTGTAATTTTAATCTTTGATGTTTTTCTGTTGGTAATGTATCAGAGAGACATAGAGAGTCTAGTTGACATCAAGCTCTGCTTGCGATGTTCGTGTTTGAGTTTGAGTAGAAGAAACCTTCAAATTGCGAACAAAAACATATGACAAACAGCAGATCAGCACGAATCAGTTGAAAATTCATCCATACGACATCAAGTTATAGCCAACAGCTTAAACAGAACCAAACTGCTTGTCAAACAATCTCAGCAGTGAAGACGCTTTTTGTGTTGTGCTGATCTAAATACAAAGAATCTCTACTGCACATAATCACTTATCTCTTTTGCATCGCAGTCCATCCATATCCAAAACAGTTAAATCGCACAAAAGATTATTGAAAAGAAAAGTAGTATTAATGTGCTAGAAATCTATGGCATTCTTTAAATACTCCAAAATTAGATAATTTAATAATATCGAGAGTGATTAAGTTCAATGATTATGTTAATCGCAACTTAACGAATGTGAAATGAAGAAAATTACTCCAAAAAGTATATTAACAAAAGAAATGAAGATGAGGTAATTTCTGTAGCACTTAAAGCTATCAATTTATTCGATTACCATTAAACTTGCCATTCATTAAGCTGGCTAAGTTCTCAATTTTAAATTGAAATTTTCAATTTTAATCTTTCTGTAATTTTGTTACTGCAAATTACACATTTAATATAATTAATGAAATTGCAAGTGAAACTTAGTTTTGGAGAAATTTTAAAAGTCAATATTAAGGTTGCATTTAGATTTAACCTCCGGATTTTTAAAGATTTTTGATGTCGAAAATGAAAACAGCACTCGAAAGTCATCAAGTTTCTATAGCAACAAGAGTTTCTAACCAGACATTTTTTTGTTTACGATTTCTCAATAATCGATGCTATTTTCGGAAGTGAATAATGTAAACGAAAAAGACCTTGACATTTATTGGATAGGAAGGAATATAAATAGATATTGTTTAGGTTCAAAGTTAGTTCCGGATGATTTTAAGAGAACAAATACACATAAAGAATGAATACTCTGAATTTGGCGCGAAAATCAAACTTCACCGATTTAGATTTTTGTGACATGGAGTGTGAGGAGAGAAAAAGAAGCTTGAGGTAAATTAATCAAAAAATCTTATGAAGTTACTAAACTCAGCAAATCACCTAGCAACTGTTTAATAAGATAATTAATTATCAAATTTCAATACAATATGTGGAACTGTGGAAAAAACCAGAATAGCTCATCTGCTTATTTTCTTCTGTATCTACGCATATATTTAAAGGCATTTAACAGTTAATTATAATTCATAAGAAGCATGATTTCTTTTTGTTTGTGCGGTCGATTCTGTATCGATTGAGAATGAACAAGTGTGATTATATTGAGCACGAGGTTAAAAGAAATATTAATTTAAAGAAGATTCCAGACAAACGAAAAAGTAATTTGTGAATGTAGATTGAACACGTGCGGATGAAAGGTGAACTTGGTTAAGTTTATTTTAAATTGAAAATTATTCTTTGAACTCATTTTTGGGGTCAAGAAATATTTTAAACTGGAGTTTAGTGAACTGATTAAGGTTATTAGGGGTTTAAAGACGTTTTTGTCATTACTTACATTTGATTGGCTTTTTTTGCAGGTTTGGTGGCTGGATTACGAGTATAATCAGCTCCTAGAGTTGCATTAATTGATTTAATTGGCTACAGCTTTGAGGGGTCACTGAGATGCTTGAGAATTTATGATAATACAGCCTAAAATCCTAATTTCTGATTGAAGTCATAAGTGAACGACCTTTGATAGATTTAAGTCAGGTACTCGTGAACAAGAACCTTAGTGTGTTGTATTAATTTATTGAGCTGTTACCCTAAAAATCCAGCAATTCCTAAAATTATTCAGACAATATCGATTCTGCAAAAATACAAAAAAAAACCCCAATAACATCACAACTATCAACCGACGATGATGCTGATACTATTTCTGTCGATAATTCAGAACAAGAGCAAACTTTTTTTAATTGCCAAAGTTTTTGACTCTTCCTTATTGCGAGATATTAATTAAAGAAGATATAGAAATTTTTTCCATCCAACATTGTTGTTGTTTTTGATGCCGAAAAGTCTACTCAGCTCCATCCTGAGTGCTTTTAATTTCCACCCTCTAATAGGATTAATTACTAAGCTTCATTATACTTTCTACGCGGCACAGATTCAACTTGCTTGCTTGTTTATTGAGTGAAACCACTACGGAATGAAGAATGAAGAATGAACAAGAAAAAATAATAATATTAGGGAAAATGGAATCAGATGATAATGAATGAGGTTGTGGTTTTATGGACATATTCACACCGTAAATTAAGGAAAAGTATGTTGGAGTGGATGAAATTGATGGTGATGTTATTGGAAGGCTGTTTTACTGGCTGAGCTGCATATTTTACTTTAAATACCAGCAGCTCCTGAAGTGCTTTCTAAGAACCTACAAAAAAACCTGAAAACTTCAAAAAATTCATAAACCCAAAAATTTTAAAAAAAGCTTTTTCAAATTTTTTCATTTTTATTAATTCCATTTTTTCTGCCTTAAATTCATCGATTTTTTTCATAATTATTTTCCATTGGAAATTTTTCTGTTACATCCGTAAACTCTTTTATATTTACAACAAAATTGAAATTTAATTTATTACATTTTTTAATTTTCTTCTAAATGTCTCATAATGTGTTTTTTACATACTTATTAATCCTAACAATTCATTAAAGATTTTTTTCCCGTTTTAATCTCCATTTTTGTGTTACATTTTAATTCGTAATATATTTGCAATAATTTTTCTATAAAAATTTGTCTTTCAGACTCTTTTTTTTTAAAACATTTTTTTTTTGATATCTTAAATATGTGTACAGTTCTCTATAAATTCTAGTTCTAATAGACTTTTTTTTTTAATGAATATTTTCCAGAGGGCGAAGTCGACTCGGATTTTGTATGGAAAAGTCGACTTGAGTTCACTCGACTTCATACAAATTTCGAGTCGACTTCGCCCTCTGATATTTTCAAATGAATGTTGTGAAATTTATTGATCAAATCCTAGCAGAGGTGAAGATGCAAGAGCAAGGGGTGTCCGATTCATTTAAAATTAAAATATTAATGAGAAAAATCATTAAATTATCGTTAAAGAGAGTCGGATACCTCTTACACCATTGAAAAACTTCTAATTTCATTTCTATCCCTCCAGTTTTAACAATTAGTTTTTGTGACAATTCAGTGCATTGAGATTATTTTTTAAATTCATAAATTTAATCTTTTAAAATAAAACATTTTTTAAAATTATTGAAAAATATTATTTCAAATTTAATTCTTTTTAATAAGCGCAATTACGTAAACGTTCCCTATCTGAGCTTCTTAGCTATGCTTCAGTGCACAGCCAACAAACTGATCAAAATTCATGACAGAAAAATTTCTCAAACTAATTAATTAGAGGCTTATTCTTCCATCGTATTAATTTTTCTTTAAAAACTTAAACTATTCTTATAATTAAATAAACAAGCGAAATTCAACCACATCTTATAACTTTTACATGATAATGAGCAGCTCTGATTAAGAATTTTCGAAAAGAAATTATTTTAATAAAATTAATCACGACTTTTTTGTTCAAGGAAATAAAATTATAAGAAAAGTAAGCAACAATATACTTCATTTAATTTATAATTTATGCTCCAGTCTTGATTTCATGATGAATTATGAAATTTAATATTTTTTTGTTCAATTTAAATAACGTAAATTTTTGAGATAAAATGTTAATTTTCTAGAATTTGAAGATCGATTCGTTTATCTTAAATGTCGTAAGCCGTCGTAAGATGAAATTTATGTCGATAAATTTGAACCCTTTTTCCTCACAATTTTGTGATAAAAATATCAAATTTTATTGAATGTTAAATCGTGTTGATTGATTGATTGATTAATGTTTATTCGCCCTCTCGGGTAGTTTACAAATAAAAGTAATTATTAAAAGCTTAACAAGAACAAAAAAAAAAAAGAGAAAAACAAAAGTTCATGATCGAGAATATTAATATCCAATAAGTGTTACACTTTAAAGTGTTTAAGATGATGTTTAAGTAATGTACGTACACGCACAATAAACGTAAGTACAAGTTTTTTTAAAATAAAGATAAAAATATCCAAATTAATAACATCGTTAACAAAATTTTTGAATTATCGCATCACATTTTTTCGCATCTTAGGATAGTGCTGATGATTTAAACAGATTGTTGACATCTAGTTTACTGCCCCTCAAGAATATCAGTTTGTTTTCTATAAGAAAACTTTTTAACTTGCATTTAAATAGGTTGTATTTATTAATTTCTCTTATTTT